TAATAATAATGATGCTGTGAGCTCTGCTGCTGAGATCCCATTAACTGCAGGACATTTTCCTGGCATGTACCAGCCGTGGGGGCTCTTCTGGTAGCTCGCCCTAGGCACCAGGGATGTGGTTTCATCTCCCCATGCAGCCGTGTGAGCAGTCACGCAATCCTCTGTCCTGTTGGCTCACCAGAGCGATGCTGATAGAAACAAAAGGGGCTTTAGAAGAGAGCAAGGAGAGTGTTTTGAGGTCTGGGCAATATCCTGTGCAGGGGGATGGAGAGAGACACAGCCCGTGAAGCACCGGGCTGGTCTGGGAGGCTGGGTGCCTCCAGCCAGCAGAAGACAAGCACTGTGAGATCCCTTGGGCGGGTGGTAGATCCTGTGATCCAGACCTGCCCAGACTTGAGGTGGCTGCTCTTCGGGCTGCGCTCCCTGACTCCCCTGTTCCTGTTTTTCCTCTTTGCAGGCACACATTCTGGCAGTATCGCCGTGAGAACCCCCAAACCAAAGTGGGGGACCCCCCTCCTGATGGGCTGCCCGGCTTCAACAGTGGTGTCCTGCTCCTGAACCTGGAAGCCATGAGGCAGTCCAAGCTCTACAACCAGCTGCTGGAGCCCGCCATGGTGCAGAAGCTGACGGAGAAGTACCACTTCAAGGGCCACCTCGGGGACCAGGATTTCTTCACCATGGTGGGGATGGAGCACCCAGAGCTCTTCCATGTGCTTGACTGCACGTGGAACCGACAGCTTTGCACGTGGTGGAGGGACCATGGATACAGTGACGTGTTCGACCAGTACTTCCAGTGCGAGGGTGAGGTCAAAATTTACCATGGGAACTGCAACACCCCGATCCCTGAAGACTAGGGCAGCCCCCGTCCCCGGGAGCAGCTCTGACTGCAGCAAGCCCTGCAAAGCCATAGTGGCTGCACCAGCAGTCCCTCGGGAAGGGTGGCCAACCCTGATCCGTTGCATCCCAGGGGGATCCCTAGGGATCCCAAGAGCATTCAGTATCCCACTGCCTGTAGCCTCACCCCTCCAGGAGAAAGTGCAGTCCGGTAGTTGGAGCAGGACATTCACAGTCACCGTGCCCAGGCTCAGCTCCCGGCTCTCACCTGGCTCTGCTTGGGGCAAGTCCCCGGTGCCCGCCTGCGCCACAGCCACTGGGGCGTGGGGACAGCCGAGGGCCTTCAGGCGACCGCTGCTTTTGCACATGGCAGGGTGCTGGCTCCGCAGGTGCTGTGCAGCCTTGCCTTGTCTAACGATCAGCAGCTGGGCAGTTGGGTTTTGTTTTGGCATTCGTCAGTGGCCTGTTTCTGCATCTCACGCAGAGCATCCGTCTGGTCCCTCTGGAGAGCAGACACCGTCCTCAGGTCATCTTCCTTTTGAAGCATTCCAGAAAGGTGAGGGGGTTTTAAAGACTGAAAAGCTGATTTAAATTGGGTTACTTACAAACAAAAACTGAATGCTAGATGAGCTTTAAAGCCTCCCATTGGTTCTTCTTAGCAATAAAAACTTTACTGCCCTGTGTTGTCTTAAAAGCGTTCAGTGAGCGTGTACCAATAGGTTCATTTTTCTAGCTTTGCCTTTAACCTTTTGTACAAGAATAAAGCTGCAGATGTAAAACACACTCGGCTGTTTTTCTGCGGCACAACTGAAGTCCTGTGCGATAGGAGGTTTCATGCTCTTCTTATCATGATTAAAAAGTAGTTGATATATATCTGTTGGGCAGTTGAATGTGGTGCCCCGTGTAGCTTATCGCTGTGATTATCCCACGTCTGTCCCGAGCAAGTGACGCAAATAAACGGGCCGTCACACAAACTGGATTTAAAAAAAAGATCATCGTCACCATAGCCAGGGTTTGTTTGGAAGGAGCCGGGAACTGCCTGTGCTGTGAATGAGCGGGCTTCAGGCATGAGCACTCTGCTCCCTAAATAAATCCCGTCTTGGCTGGCCCGGCCAGTGCATGCAAGCTCCTGCGCAGGTCTCTGTCAGAGGAGGTGCACACGCGCATTAACCCACTTTCAGCCCCGCTTTTTTTACACCAAGCTGGCGTGTGCCTCTGTGTGTGCATCTGTGTGATGCGCACATGCGAGAGAGAGGGATGGGGACTTAATTATGGCTTAACCTAATAACAGCCCACACAGTGTGCGGCAGGAGTTTCCTGGGCTCCTTCCCCTGTGTCCGTGAATGAACATTTATCTTTACTGAGGAAGAGGCTCTCCTCCCGCTAACTGATGTAAGGGGAACGGCAGGCTGAGATGCGGGCTGCAGCCCTAACCCCACCCTCTGGGCTGAACCGATCCATTTCCAAATAGCACACAAGCTCTGCTTTAAGTATTTTCACATCCCCAGAGAAGGAACTGTGAAGAGGTGATTTAGGGCTAGTGAAAGAAGCAATAGCCTGCTGTATTAGACTCACATTTTCACCAAAAAGAAGGCGATCAGGTGGCTGTGCGAGGCAAGGCATGCAGCCAAGGTGCTGGAGGCTGCAGCGGGGTAGGATTCAGGGCAGGCGATGCACCATGGTGATGCACCTGAAGGATGAGGAGGGTTTGCCGTGAGGAGGGTTTGCAGTGGCTCAGCCAGCCAGAGCTGCTGCCGTGCGCAGAGAGCACACACCCTCCCGGGGACTCCGGAGGGACTTTGCTCTGTTGGTGCCCGCTCTGATTTAGGTGTGAGCTGGGTGGGGATGTCCCTGTGTTGGGTGGCCAGGACCAGCCCGGGGAGTCATCCACCTCACCCCTGCCCTGGCAGTGCCACGGTGCTTTCCCGGGCTTGTTGGGCGAAATGGGGAGAGGGCAGGGCTTCCTGTGCAGAGCTGCGGTCCCGTGGTTGGCATCGGTGCTTCATCACCACCCTGGCATGTCCTGAGGCCCCTGCAATTGCCCCGAGTGGCTCCTGGGGCTGCCCCATGTGCACAGCCCATGCCGTGCCCGGGATGCTGCTGCGGGGACTCAGCCCTGCACTCGCCGGCTGGGGCACGCTGGTGGCACCGGTGACATGCGGGGGCCTCGCATGCCAGGGCAGGACCTTGCTGTCAGTTTGGAAATGGCCATGCTGGAAATACAGGCTCATGTCACTGGCCCTGGGCAGCAGCAGGCAATGAGCAAATGCAGCTTTTCCATGGTGCTGAGCAGCTCTGGGGTGGCCCTGGGTGTCGGGGCTGGCCTGAAAG